AGCCGCGTAATTCAGAGCACCGTGGTAGACGTTCTCGTTTACTACGAACTATACGAATGTTCGTGCTGGGTGGCCATAAACGACTTGTCGGACGAGTGATATACGGTACGGCCTACGGCGGAGAGTCGATCCGTCGAAGTATCGTAACGAGTAATTGACTGCGCTCTGCTTGCTCCAATTAATTAACTTTCAGTACTTTGTCGTTTTCCTTCCTCCTCCTCTTTCTCCTTCTCCTCCTCCTCCTCCACCTCCTCCTGTCCCTCAATATAATGGATATTTAATGAATGTCCTGCGGATGCCCAATCACCTTCCAATATTTCTCGATATTCTAATTTCTGAACTTCTTTATTACTTTTTCTTATTTTAATTTTTAATCGATGCACGTCAATAGAATTTTTCTTTTTTGACGACGTCGTAGCCTCGCTGTACATCGATGACGTGTACTGGGATTTAAAAAAAGCTTGAATTTAATTTGTTATCTTTTTTCCGTTCTATTCGTTTTATTTTATTATATTCCTTACAAAACTTAACAAGATTTGATACAACCAATATCATCTCTTTTGTAACTTCAGCTGTATCAAAATGAAAAATTTAGTAAGTTTTAGACATGGAATTCACAATGTATTTCGCGTACAACTCGATTAATTGCTTGTAATATTTAGTAAATAGAAATATTTATTCGGGCTTGTTTTGTCGGTTTATTTTATAGTTCTAATAACGCATTACCGTAGTTAAATAGTTAATTATTTTGAACATTGTCAGATATAATTACAGAACTGCTGTAGACAGAATTGCTGTAATATTATTGTTGTATTATTATTATATCGCGGTTATTACTTTAAATTTATTATTGGTTTCGTATCAATTTTATAGATTTAAATAGCTCTATCATTTTATTTAATAAAAAAGGAACGATATATTATTTGATATCGCAAAGCGAAAATAATTAAACTTCTAATTTCAATATTGTATACTTGATTTTAGTTGGTCTGGTTCATTTTGTAGTCCATTAAAGCAATGCTGTATTTAAGCTGGTAATTAATTTGGACGTGACACGTGTAATCGCAAAATGTCGCCGTACTTGTAACGGCATATTACGTACTATCGGATGTTATTAATTATGACTCGCGTTAGTCAATCAATATCAATAGCACGTTAATTAATTTATTACCCCTGAAACTTGCGCGTAACTTAACCGTCGACGTAATCGCAGTCCGCTAAGGAAAATGCCGATGCTGAGGACGCAGATAATCTCGCAATAACGATATGCGAGTTGCGAAGGTGATAACGTAGAGAAAGAGAGAGAGAGAGAAGAGAGAGAGAGAGAGAGAGAGAGAGAGACCGTCGCGTGGGTGATAAAATAACGAGCGCGCGTCATGACTGTTAAATGTCAGCGAAATATTTTCATCGAGCGGCGCGTCGTAAGTTGAGTAAACGTGCTCAAGCTTGCACAAGATCGTAATGGTGTCGGCAGTTTGTTGCGGAGCCACTGAATTATAAAAGCCTCACTTTGAAATTCTATTGTGCGTCGCGCGTGCCTTATGATTATATTCGCGGTGGATTTCCATGGTTTACCCGATGCCGAACGTGTCCTTTTGTTAAAAGTTCAAGCGTGACAGACTCCCGTCTGCGAGTGCGCGGGCGAGGCTCCTTTACGAGAAGTGAGTTATCTCGTACAGACGCATATGGAGGAGGCTCCGCACGTCTTTGAAGATGTATACATAGATCGGGAATACGTGTATGCACGGTCTAAATTGCTTACTCAGTAGAAACGTGTCGGCAGACGTAATGTCGTAATACCGCACGTGCGTATCCTAAGTTTTCACAGAAGAGATTCCATTTCATTGCAAAGTTTCCGTAGAACTTTCTTCCGGAGGTCGCGCTTCTGTTTGGAATAACGGTACAAGAAGAAATAAATAACCAACGAAATTAATGCGTTTGCACCTTTGCGTCGGAAAGTTTTTCGTAATGATCAAATTTCACATCATTCGTTTCTGTAATTAATAGACTATAGATTCTCTCATAAAATTTCATGCTCGTTTTATCAAAGGATTTTACACAAATATATTGCTGAAACTATAGTTTCTCTTTTATAGTACAGAAAATAGTAAAATCTCTCAATGCGGATTATTTCTCAATTTCTCTTCAATCGCTATATAATTTAAAAAAACTGTAATACTCGATAATTTTAATCGCTGCATACTCATTCCGAAAATATATTCTATAAACTGCATCGACATAAAATTTCCCGTAGAGATTTATTTGTATAAGAAGATAATTCATATAAAAAATGAAATTGGCATATAATAGGAAAGAAATGATTCATCCATCTTTGTTTAATTTTCATACGAAATATATGAATTATATTGTTGTAATTAGATCAATGATTTTAAATTGTATTATTTCAGTTTTTAGCTTCGACAAACTTTATTTGCCGTTTATTTCATCTAGTAAAAAAATCATTCTCTGTCAATAAAACTTGCTCAATAAAGCCTTTATCGACTTCGCCAAATCGAATATCCACCAGGTATAAAGCACAAACGAGCTTTATTCACTGCGTCGATCACGTCCAACAAAACAATTAACAATATCACGATAATTCATCCGTGTTGCTGACGGTCATGTTTTCTGAACGCGCTACATCCCGTTCATGCCTTCATATTTCGTGTTTAATTACGTAACGCAAGATATAAACAGGTGTTCAATTTCCTAGTTATTATTCAGTTTTAGTCCTCCGATAAATAATCATATAAGCCGGTGTTACACGCTTCAATCGGAATATATAATCAATTTTCAATTTTCGTCCCCGATCTTCCCTCATTCCCGAATTGATTGCGATTTATTTTTCCACCGCGTGTCACCGCGTTCGAAAGGCAGCTGAAAGCCTTTCTGGTCGCTTACTTTCGCGACGTACAATTCCCGGCCGTAAATTAATCCGTTCCCGGAACCATTTTACACCTACGCGAATAATCGATAATATATGCACGGCCTATATGAAAGAGGTGTTACGTGTGATGAGAGACATGCTCCCGTCGGTGCATCAAAATGCACGTCGCAGTTATGGCTTGCTGGGGAATTAGGCGGGCCAATATAATGCACACTAGCTGTGCACTTATCTGGGTCATCTTCCCAGTAGAAACCGCTCACACAGCATAGATATATAATGACTGTTCTTGGAAGTTCCTCGGGCATTTAATTGTCTATCTAGAAATATATACGTGCATTGGGCACGATGCACATAATTAAAATAGCATGTCCATTAAACTGATGCAATCAGTGCAACACAATTGAATGAACCAGATAAAAATCAAGTTTATATGTTTATGATTGGTATAACCATAAAAAAAAATTAAGATATATTTAAAAAAGACAAAAATATTTTTTTAGAATTATTTTGTTGTTAGGACTAATTAATTATTTTATTATCAAGTTGGTCGTAATATTTTTGATTCAGAAAAATCATCCCTACATCGTCCTTCATTAGCACATTATCGTTAAATATTAATTTTATTTTCAATGGATGTGGTATTTCGATGGATTATATGTTTCTAATTTTGTTCGTACTGTTGATATTTTCATCAAAGTGGATTTTGTTGTTCGAACATTATTGAAAATTATTCTATCTCGCATCAGCATAGTATTTTAAACTCATCAAATTCATCAAATATTTTGATAAACTATTTGTTTCTAGTTTTAATTTTCCTGCATAGGATCAGAAAGATGTAATTTCTCGAGATATTCAATGAATTCGTAAGTTTAAAATGTTATGCTGATGCGGGGTAACTAAAGACAGTTATCGAAAGTTAAGAATGCAGGAAAATCAGACTTGATAAAAATGTCAAGCAATAAAATTAGAAATATGTAATTCATCAAAATATCCGCTGAATTTGCAAGTTTAAAATGTTATTTTCGAGTAATATGACTCAGAATAGTTTTCAAAGGTTAAAAATGGAACAATGAAATCGGAGTTAATGAGAATGTCAAGGAATAAAATTAAAAAGACGTGTATCCATAAAATATTCCGTGAAATTAATATTTAGTATACTGAAGATTTTTCTGAATTAAGAACGTTAACTTATTGCAATCTAACAATAAAGTAACTAATTAATAATAAAGAAGCGCTAAAAAATATATTTTCCTTTTCTTTTAATTTTCTTCCCGTGGCTGTATTAACTATGAGCTTAAGTTGGCACAGCCACTATTATCATCAAATCGACTAAAACAATAAATCGCGTATAAACAATATTTACCAACAAAGAGTACTAAATTTATATTTATTTTATTCGATTACCTAATAAACATTATAATAGCTTTCTAAATAACATATCTCTCCTGTTTGAGGTTAATTAAACTTCAATATTTCCCCCCCTCCTTGGTGTATTAAGAGATATCATTTAATAATATAATAATATTTATCGAAACATTATATGATTATAAATAAATATCGTTAGTACATTAATAAATATATGACCTATATTTCTCTCAACACGACTTGCTATAATTTTTCGTGCACTCCCGAGAGAGAAACGAAGTTTCAAGCAATTAAGTTTTGTAGTATTGCGTATACTTGTCCTTTTAACGTACCATGCGAGAAACTTAGAAGAAAAAAAGTTTTGTTGTTTCTCAAACTTCTAATAGACACACCGTTAGCTTTTCAAGAAACATTCTTGCAATTGCTAACGATGTGCTCGCTACAGAGCAAGACATTTTCCGTTGCAAAGATACTTTTAATTTTTATCGAGAATAAAATTTCCCTAAGATGTAGCTCAGATTAAAAATTCATAGGTTACTAAAATGTAAAGATCAGATCTTGAATAAATTAGTATAATTAATTACTTCATTTTATCCTATTTCTTATGTAATATATTTCTCGAGGGGAAACGCATTGCCATTTGTTTAATGCTAATTCAATATTTAATTTCGGCGTTAATATTTTTTGCAAATGATTATGACTGCAAATATTCAACGAATGTTACGGTGAAAAATGCATTGTGTCGCAGGAGTGAAAGGATGTTACCGTGATGTTACATCGAAGCGCTTCGTCGCGACGCCGGCGAGCGTCGCCAAGCGTGGCAAACTCGAGCCAAGCGGCGTCTTCGACGATGCGAGGTCGACGAGCGAGCGTTGCCACTGAGAAACCCCTCATCTTGCCGCCAAGCAGCCCCGGCGGAACGATGGAAAGGCAGCGGTCGCCGAGGGGTAGCATGGTGCCGAATATCGCTCTGGATACCGAGAGCGATTCGCCCGATGAAGTTAGTATATATATATATTCACTCTCAAAAAGCAAAGTCATTTATATATATATATATAGTCAAGCCGTTATTGCTTTTTATATACAGAGACGTGAAATACAGATTCCCAGTCGCCGCCAAATTATTTCATTTTGTTAAACACAGGGAATACAAATAACAAAAATCTATTCTGTCCGAGAAAGACCTGGATTATTATTTTCAAAACCGCCACAAATAACAATTCAAAGAATTTGATTTGACAAACATTTTTGCGACACCGGCGGTCGTGCAGACCATAGAAAATAATGTCAATTAATTGAGATTTTCGGTCAACTGAGCTTCAAGCTTGAAATATGCAACCGATTTCGTTCTTTTTTTGCTTTTTTTCCTGTTCCCTTCAGGCTACGCAATGTTACATGGAATATTCAATTACTCAAGGGATACTCGACTGTACAGGTGTTTGACGTTGTATTCGATCGATATGAGCGTGTACCCATCGGCGAAATCAAATGCGAACTTTTTGTCACGCGTGTTACACATCAGTTTAGCCATCAAATTTTGAGGTCATGAAATTTTCACAGCAGATAGATTGCTATCACATGTTATTCATTAGTGAATGATTGGCGCGTAGGTATGCGTTTCCAAAGTTATCGGTTGGCTTTGGACAGCGATCGTTAAAATGATTAAAATACGTTCACTTCAATCGAGAATTTCGACATGTTTCGCAAGCGTGCAGCTTTGCTTCCGTATGCAAGTATTAATTTATTCTGTACATTAATTTCTATATGTTGGTTAAACTAGATATATTATAGAAAGAGATATGGGTGTATAACATTAACATGCAAATTTCATTCTCAAATAAAATAAAAAGAATTAATAAACATAAGTGACGGTAAACAAAATAATTTATAAAGCGAGAAGCGACACGCAGATTCACTTGTAGCATGACATGATATTATATTTGAAAAAAAGCAGAAGGCAAATTATGCGTGTAGAGAAAACTTCATATATAAAAATTAAAAATTAATTTCTGTCCTAAATATTTTTCATTTCTTTGCCATCAATTAAATGGATAAACAGCTAATTTATAGAATGTGTGGTGCTCCATTTTCAGGGTGTCTGTCGTAGGATCCTGCCGGATCCCGAACAGTATGGCACCAGCCGCAACTCCCTGGCGCCCGAGGCGAGCCGCAGCCCGCGAAACTCTCTAATACCTGACGATTACTGCAGAAGCCCGCGAGGCTCCCTAATCTCAGACCCGAACAGGAGCCCACGCAACAGTCTGGTACCTGACGTGGTACGGTCGCCGCGAAATAGTCTTACGCCAGAGGTCTCTCTCAGTCCGCGTCATTCCCTGGTGCCGGACTCGGCACTTAGCCCGAGAAATTCCCTGGTGCCGGACGTGGCCTATAACCGGAGTCCGCGGAACAGCATGGTGGCGGTCGGCGGCTCCAGGATATCCCTCTTACCGGAGAACGGTAGCGCACTCGTGGCCGCCAATCGCAGCCCCAGACACTCGCTGGTGCCAGATTCGACGAGGAGCCCGCGAGGCAGCATGGCGAACCTGGACTTCGACCGAAGTCCGCGCAGCTCGATCTGCCCGGAATTGCACAGGACACCCAGGGGTAGTATCACGCCCATAGAGGTCGTCGACAGAAGTCCTCGCGGTTCGATAGTCTCGGAGTGCCTAAATCAGAGTCCCCGCGGCTCCATCGTACCCGATCCGAATAGATCGCCCAGAGGATCGATAGCGCCGGACCCGAATCGGTCCCCGCGAGGATCGATATGCCCGGAGAGCAGCAACAGGAGCCCGAGAGGATCGATCGCGTTGCACGATCAGACGAATCGATCGCCACGCGGAAGTATAGGTATGAACGATGGCGACAAACACTCGAGAGGTTCTCTCGGTGCTATCAACGATGACGAAAATAGAAGTCCCAGAGGAAGCATCGGGCCTGACGGGATCAATAGAAGTCCTAGAGGTAGTCTTGGAGGGCATCAGGATAGAAGGGCGCCTAGGGGTAACTTAGGCTTGCAAGATCCTAGAAGAGCTTCCGCGGATCAAGGTAAGATTTTAAAAATTTTTTAATCGTTAGTTTAAGTTGTTCAATGTTGTCAATTCAATTCTTTGAAACTTTACTCTCCAAAAGAATTTATCTTATCTTAGTATATATTTAATTATTATATTCAATTTTTCGTTTAATTTTTTTTTAATTTAAGCAATTTAGCAATGATTGCCAGGGTCATTTTTGCGGCGAAAACTTCGGGTTATATAAGCTAACTTTTTCCACTATATAATATGAGTAATTACTGCGATCGTCGGAAACTTGTCTCTGCGCATTGCGACCAATGTTGCGTAACTTCAGTACGGAAACTACCGCGAAAATATAGTCCTTGCACTACTATCGAAACCGCAATGCTCTGTATCCAAATACAGATATAACCCGATCGCGAAATTATAGCGTCGCGGTGAAACGCAACGCGATGTGCAAAGGAAACGTTTGTGCTTCCCGCAGATGCGGTCGGATTATGTCAATAATACGTCGACATGCCCGACATGTCGATCATACGTGACAGAATTAAACAATTGTCTGTTGTCAGCTATTGACTCGAGAATTTGCGATTACTACAAGAAGCCATTGGAAATGAAAAAAGGTACAAGATTAAAGAAAAAAATAACAGGAAGTTTACTCGAGGAACGAGTAAATATCACTTAATAAATTTATAAATATTAAAAACAGTCACGGCTCTCATCTATTTTCCATTCATCGAGAAATTATAAGGAAAACTATTTTACGCAGGATATATAAGATATAAAGACGTGGCGTAAAATATTCATCATTGAGATTCTACCGAGTATTTCCTTACATCTTTGCATTTGCAGGCCGAGAACCTATCTCGAGACAGCAAGTATCTTCGCTCCTTGGGGAGCGCAATGGCAATTTGACGCTCATTACCGTACAACTCGACGTCAGGTCTCTCTGGAGAGGCTCCGATTAGGTTTCGTTCGTTTCTCCCGACGTGTTCGGAGAGCATCAATTACGATAGACGCGCATAATATATCGCCGAGTGACGGAAATTGGTTGCCGGGCGATACCCTCTCGCGCGTGTTGATTGAGCGCGATATCGTACATCCGATACTTCTCCTCTGAAATCCTGTGGCGGATGCGATAGACATTCGCGCCTCGGAATAACGCGTGACGCACGAACGGAAGGAACGGATCTGCCAAGCGATGTAAAATAATATCGACAAGCCGACAATCTATTCGACGTTCAGTTCCGACGCGTGGGTTTCATTAAGAAACTACGTTGATACCCTTCCTCCCTTGATTATCTATATATCTAACGTGGTTAAATTTATTGCGTCGTAATTTAATTAGGTCAGACAAACACGATTTCGCGAAGTGCCTTCGCATCGGTATTTCGATAATACTACTGCGTCGTGTATAACACGGCATGATGCTAGGAATTTATACCTATACGGAGAGATGACGATATAAGCAAAATAAATATAATAAAAATGATGTAAATTATATAGGAACAATTTTCCATCAGCCTGAATTTTTGTACTAATATTTAGATTCGATTTAACATGTAAATCATCAATTTCCTCCTCGCAAAAAATTCAACATTTGATTGTAACGATTATATCAATTGCCGCGAATCACGAATCGTATTTTTGTCTATGCAAATTATTAGACTTAAACATATCGTGATATCAAATTGCTATTGGCGGTCGGAAAAGCCACATACAATGTTGATATAATGGCTTTAAGCCTCGTATAGCTCCGACCTATGCAAAATGGTTTACCACAATCTTAGATATATTGCGCGTGCGGGATATACATATGTATGTATCTCGCGATGATAATTCTCGCGTTAATATTCGCGAATGTGATAAAGCTCGTCAGGAGAATCAGAAACTTGATAATTTCGCACACCAGGAAGGCGTTTTTTATCGCCGTGATTCTTGGGGGCCGCACGGCACAAGCGCAAGAAATCAAATGCAAAGCAAATGAGAGGCATTTGTCCCAGCGATAATTAACATCACGCGGGAAAGGTTTACGTTTCGGTCGCGCAAATTGGCCTTATTTTCTCGCGCGTGCACACGATGCTTATTAACATTAGCAGCTACGCTGAACCGCCGTCGGTCACGAGACTGAAATATGCGTTTGATACATATTCCCACTTACCTACTTTGAGCGATCGCGGTGCGAAAGGGATTGCGTGCGCGTTCTTAAGAGAACAGACCAACTGGAGGAGCGAATTTCTCCTTGAATATTCTCAAATAGCCAGAATGCAAATATATAATGAATAATTTATTATAATTTTTTTTCTTTTCGATTTCATAATTCTTACAATAATTTCTCGCACCGGTGTATTAAATCGCTTTCTTGTCGCTTTTATCGTACAAATTTGCTCACCTCCCATATGATTATTTCTTCGAGATCGATACGATAAGATCGACCTGGAGTTTACGGAGCCGCGACGACTACCGAGCGAAGTCGATAAATTTTACGACGAGTCGCGGCGAGGAACGTCGCAATAATCGAAATCTCTCCGGCAGATGAGATTCGTATACTGCAAATTGAAAGCGTGGATTTATCGCACGAAGCAGCGCGCATTACGCGAAAGCTTGTTGACAAAGATATCTCATCGCCCGAGTTTGCAGTGCATGATGTCTCTTTACAACGAGCGAAATTCGTGCAAATGGAGAATACAAATTAAATCGCGCACCGACACTGTTAATTGGCGCACTGTTCGCCATTGTTCGCAACTGCACAGTCATTTAACGTTTGTTAATTGCGAACGCGTCAAAACAAAGAGAATCGGAAGCTACTAGTCGTACATAATTACCGGAGGTTCATATGCGGATCCAAATCGATATTGTGATTTTATCAAATTTAAAAGACAGATAGAATGATTAAGTTCATGAAGAATTTAACAAGCCTGATATACGAAATCGTAATTCAAACAGAATTCAAAAATAATGTCCCGCTCGCAGAATAGAAATTGCGAATCGATATTAAAGTAGCAGTATATTCGATAAGTGTCTCTCTCTCTCTCTCT